CACCTGTGACTCCTGCCAAGGCCATCTCCTGGTCTGCCAATAGGAACCCTTCAGAGACCCTACCTTGGTCCCCCGCCTTGTCTATCCTGCAGTACCCCTCACTCGCCCATGTTCTCCCAGACAAAAATCCACATGCACACACAAGGATAAAATAAAATTTAAATTGGGGGAAAAGCAAACCAAAGCACAGCACAGCACCAAAAAAACCAAAAAACAAAACAAAACAAAACAAAACAAAACAAAACAAAACAGCCAGCCAGCCAGCCAGCCAGCCAACCAACCAAAGAAAGAAAGAAAGAAAGAAAGAAAGAAAGAAAGAAAGAAAGAAAGAAAGACAAAGCAATAAAACAAAACAAAACCCTCAGTCCCCCAGAGAAGGGAGTCCCCGGGCAGCCTGGACTGCAGCTAAGGGACGCAGACAAGGGAGGATACCTTATAAGCCCCGTCAGGCCGGTGGCCCCACCCCTCTACTTCCTCCTGGCCCCTCTAGCCTCTCTGGCCCCGCCTCCCTTCCTCTCTGCTGCTCCTGACCCTCTGATCCTCTGCCCAGTTTCAACCTTGCCTTCACCAGTCCCCTGGCCACTCAGCACTCTCTCCCAGCCTCTGCCTCTGCTGCTCAGATTTTATTTGCCATAGCTTTCCTCCCAAGGAGCAAGCATCTTTTAATTTCTTGGCTGCAGTCACTGTCTCCCCAGGAAAATAAAATCTGTCACTACCTCCATTTCTTCCCCATATGTTTGCCAGGAAGTGAAATGACCAGATGCCATGAGCTTAGTTTTCTTAATGTTGAGTTTTAAGCCAACTTTTGCGCTCTCCTCCTTCACCCACATCAAGAGGCTCTTTAGTTCCTCTTCAATTTCTGCCATTAGAGTGGTATCATCTGCATATCTGAGGTTGTTGATATTTCTCCTGGCAATCTTAACTCCAACTGGTGATTCATCTAGCCCCGCCTTTCCCATGATGTGCTCTGCATATAAGTTAAATAGGCAGGGTGACAGTATACAGCCTTGCCAAACTCCTTTCTCAATTTTGAACTAATCAGTGGTTCCGTGTCCAGTTCTCACTGTGGCTTCTTGACCCGCATATAGGTTTCTCAAGAGACAAATAAGATGGTCTGGTACTCCCATCTCTTTAAGAACTTGCCACAATTTGTTGTGATCCATCCAATCAAAGGCTTTAGCATAGTCAATGAAGTAGAAGATGTTTTCCTGGAACTCCCTAGCTTTCTCCATGATCCATCATAGGTTGGCAATTTGATCTCTAGTTCCTCTGCCTCTTCGAAATCGTGCCTGTACTTCTGGAAGTTCTCAGTCCACATACTGCTGGAGCCTAGCTTGTAGGATTTTGAGCATAACTTTACTAGCATGTGAAATGACTGCAATGGAGTGGTAGTTTGAACTTTCTTTGGCATTGCCCTTCTTTGGAATTGGAATGTAAACTGACCTTTTCCAATCCTGTGGCCACTGCTGAGTTTTCCAAATTTGCTGGCATATGTAGCACTTTTACAGCATCATCTTTCAGGATTTTGAATAGCCCAGCTGGAATACTGTAACCTCCACTAGCTTTGTTGTTGCTCAGACTTCCTAAAGCCCATTTGACTTCACATTCCAGGATGTCTGGCTCGAGGTCAGTGACCACCCCATCGTGGTTATCAGGGACGTTAAGCTCTTTCTTGTATAGTTCTTCTGTGCAATCTTGCCACCTCTTCTTAATCTCTTCTCCCTGTTAGGGCCCTGCCATTTTGGTCCTTTATTATGCCCATCTTTGCACAAAACGTTCCCTTCATATCTCCAACTTTCTTGAAGAGATCTCTGGTCTATTCTATTGTTTTCTTCTATTTCTTTACACTGTTCATTTAAGAAGGCATTCTTATCTCTTCTAGCTATTCTCTGGAATTCTGCATTCAATTGGGTGTATCTTTCCCTTTCACCCTTGCCTTTCACTTCCTGTCTTTCCTCAGCTATTTGTAAGGCTTCCTCAGACAGCCATTTTGCTTTCTTGCAATTTCTTTTCTTTGGGATGGTTTTAGTTGCTACCTCTTGTACAATGTTGCGAAGCTCCGTCCATAGTTCTTCAGGCACTCTGTCACAGTGGTCCTCAAACAATTTTAATAGAGGGCCAGTTGAAAGGCAGCGGCAACCTGGCATGGGCCGGTGAGGGGCAGGGCCTGGGTGTGCAGGCCAGTGAGGCATCCTCTGACGCACACAAGGCAGCTTACGCGCTCAGAGATCTCCAAGCAAGCGGGCCACCGCTTCCCCACCCATGCTGCAAAGCGGCAGTGGCAGCTCACTCGCCCGAAGATCTCCCAATAAGTCCAAAACGATCTCTGAGTGAGCAAGCCACCATCTCCCACCCGCGCGGCGAGGCAGTGGCATGCACACGCTGCTGCTCGGGCCAGATAAATCGGCATGGTGGGTCAGATCTGTCCCGCAGGCCATAGTTTGAGGACCCATGTTCTATCAGTTCTAATTCCTTAAATCTATTTGTCACCTCTACTGTATATTCATCAGGAATATGATTTAGGACATACCTGAGTCGCCTAGTGCTTTTCCCTACTTTCTTCAATTTAAGCCTAAATTTAAGCCTAAATAACAAGAAACTCATGATCTGAGCCACAGTCAGCTCCTGGTCTTGTTTTTACTGACTGTACAGAGCTTCTCCATCTGTGGCTGCAGAGCACATAGTCAAGCTGATTTCTGTGATGTCCGTCTGGTGATGTCCATGTGTAGAGTCGTCTCTTGGGTTGTTGGAAGAGTGTTTGCTATGACCATCGTATTCTCTTGACCAATTTCCACCAGCCTGTGCCCTGCTTCATTTTGTACTCCAAAGTCAAACTTGCCTGTTATTTTGCTTATCTTTTGGCTTCCTACATTAGCATTCCAATCCCCTATGACAATAAGGACATTGTTTTTTGGTGTTAATTCTAGAAGGTGTTGTAGGCCTTCATAGAACCGGACAACTTCAGCCTCTTCAGCATCAGTGGTTGGGGCATAGACTTGGACTACTGTGATGTTGAATGGTTTGCCTTGGATTCGAACTGAGAGCATTCTGTCATTTTGGAGATTGTATCCCAGTATTGCTTTTCCTACTCTTTTACTGACTATGAAGGCTACTTCATTTCTTCTGAGGGATTCTTGCCTGCAGTAGTATACCTGATGGTCATCTGAATTATTCGCCCTTTCCTGTCCATTTTAGTTCACTGATTCCTAAGATGTCGATGTTCAGTGTTATCATCTCGTTTGACCATGTCCAGCTTGTCTTGATTCATAGATCTTACATTCCAGGTTCCTATGGAATATAGATCTTTACAGCATCGGACTCTTCTTTCACCACCAGATACATCCGCAACTGAGTGTCCTTTCGGCTTTGACCCAGTTGCTTCATTCTTTCTGGCACTACTAGTACTAGCCCTCTGCTCTTCCCCAGTAGCACATTGGACACCTTCCGACCTGAGGGGTTCATCTTCCGGTGTCATATCTTTTTGCCTTTTGGTATTGTCCATGGGGTTTTCATGGCAAGGATACTGGAGTGGGTTGCCATTTCCTTCTCCAGTTTTGTCAGAACTCTCTGCTATGACCTGTCCGTCTTGGGTGGCCCTGCACGGCATAGCTCATAGCTTCATTGAGCTACACAAGCCCCTTCGCCACGACAAGGCAATGATCCATGAAGGGGCAATCATTCCTACTAGGGCACAAAAAAGGAGCTTACACTGGCATGTGCTTTGGGATGCTTCTGAACCCAGAGCTATCCCTAGAATATCAGGGATAAAGCCACAAAGAGTTTAGGGCCTGTGCATCTGATGGAACGCCTTGTCCCTTATATAACTCCCAAGCACCTAAGGTCAATGGCAGATGTCCTCCTTCAGGAGTCACCCCTCCAGGAAGTAAGAAGGGAGGTGCCAGTGGGAGGGCTTTCTCTGCAGTGGTGTTCCAATTATGCAACCAGTTCCCCCAATCTTGTGCTGCTACACTATAGATTTCAGCACCAGGCTAAGACCTTTTCATTTTCTCAATGTTTTAATAGTTAGAATGTTTTTTATTTCTATATTTCATAGTAACGTGACTGCTGTGGAATAATTACTTTTATGATTTAGCCATTTTGTTATATTTAGTTATTTTTGAGTATTGATGTAATTTTGTTCTTTGCATCTGATTATTCGAATTCATTTAAATATATATATTCAACTTGATTGTTATGTCAAGCAGAGTTCTTATTATGTAGCCACCGTTACTATGAGGAGAAGAGGTGGGTAGGTTGACCATCAAGAGATTTTTAGATTTACTTAAATGGCTCTTTGTAATTATGTTTATTTTATTGTTTTTATTGTTGTAATTATTACAGGATGTTGCATATTGTGATTATGAACATATATTTTTAGTACTGATTTTTGTAAACCATTGTGGGGGCCGCGTATGGCTTGAATAGTATAATAAAAACAACAAACAAACATGTAGCTTGAGTTTGAAATGCAGCAGGAAACCCGAGCAAACCATTCCCGCACTAGAATGTGCAAGCCTTCAGCCGCAAAGACGAGGCCAGGCACTTGAGGAAGCCCTTCCAGGGCGCGCAGCGTATGCTGAAGAGAAAGTGAGACCATCCAGCTGTGCTGGCCACTTAGGCTCCTCCCTAGGAACAGCCCCAACAGAAGACCGCTTGGGTAACATTTAAGTATTATATGGAATCCTTCCTTCCTTCCTTCCTTCCTTCCTTCCTTCCAGGGAGCTTGCATAATTCCCCCTCCTCTCAGTCTTATCCTCAGAACAACAATCATGCGAAGTAGGCTGGGCCCGGGTCTCCCGCGTCCTGTCTCGCCTCGGAACCGCGACGCCACACGGGCTCCCCGGCCCTCCCCCGGGCGTCGTTTCCCAGGCAAGCCTTCCGCGGAGGCAAGCTTCGCCTGTACTCGACGAAAGAGGCAGGAAAGGGGTGGATACGGCCGCCGGCCCAATCGAAAGAAGCGGAAGCGGGACGAGGGCCGCGTCCGAGCCGCCCCCACTCACCTGCTGTGTCCCAAATGGAGATGTTGTGCGGGCCCCACTGCTTGAGGTAGAAAGCGCCGCCGACGGTGCTGACCGTGTCTTGGAAGCGCCGCTCCATGTAGCGGTGCAGCAGCGACGTCTTGCCCACGTTCATGTCCCCGAGCAGCACCACCTTTCCGTCAGGTTTCATCCTGCCCTTCCAGCCCCGGCGAAATGGCGTAGCCTTTCCGTGCTGCCTCTTGAGTTACTCGGTAAACTTGGGTAACCGGCGGGCAAAGGCGGAGTTCGCTAGTCCACCGACAGTGACGGAGGGGCGGAAAAGGAGGGGCCGGGCGGACGCCGCGGCCGCGAAGGGGCGGGCGGCGCTCGCGGTCTCGGCTCAGCCGCGCGGCCCGCCACTTCGACCAGCCGGAGCGCAGCTGTTGCCGCGGCGAGCGGCAGCCCAGCCGTCCCGGAGCCTCACGGCGACCACGGCTTTAGGAGTGGAGGGGCCTGTGGACTGCAGTCATGCAGACGTTTCAGTCATGTACGGAGCCACCGCTCCGTGACTGCTCGTGGACAATCTTACAGGGAGAAGGCAGCAGTCGGCCAGCAGAAGGCTTGAACCAACCGACCTGACTTGCAACACAGCGGTTCCGCTTGGGACCATAAGATTGCAGCAACTTTTGCCTCATCCGTCTTCGTCCTTGTGAAACTTGCCTTTTTAGATTGCAAGCCTCTACAGTCTAACGGCTGGGCAGGGGCTACCTTCGTTTAAGCTGCATTTGTTCGAGGGATGGCATAAACATACTCTAAAATTTAAATCCTTTAAAACTTAAAAATGAGTATGTATAACCATCTAGATGCCGCGCTGGTAACCTCCAAACCATATTTTTAAAAGCAGAAAAAAGCATGAGAAGACGCAACAGCAACCTGGAGGCACTACACTGTGTGTGTGTGTGCGCGCGCGCTGTTAACAAACCCGGGAGAGAAAAGTGCCCTATTGAAAGACTTGAGCGAACAAGCATCAGTTCAGGGATCCCATTCCTCCGCTTCTCACTTAGTGGGTGATCTTACTTGTCCTATTAGCCTTATATAGTTTAAGGTATCTTTGGCAAATTCTATACTTCACATATACTTGGAAGCATAATTCTATTCAAGAGAATATATGCAATAGCCACCTTCACTCCTGCCCCTGCAAAAAGAAGGAGAGAATACAAGAGATGAAAAAACGAGGAAAACTTGATAATGAGAGCCAGTCTGGTGTGGTGGTTAGAGTGCTGGATTGAGGATCTGAGAGATCTGGGTCATGGAGCTCACTAGGTGGCTTTGGGCAAATCACTCACATTCAATCTGCCCTAAAACACAGGGTTGTTGTGAGAATAAAATGGAGCTATCTAAGCGACCCACAGATCCTCATATAAGGAAAAGGGGTGGGCTATAAATGCAATATACTAACTTTGGCTATTGAGCAGTATAAAAATTAACAACAAAGGAATTATTCCCTGCTAAGAATAGCTGGGGTTGCAGTCTAAATTAAAACTAGTGTACTTTTTGTGCATAATGGAAAGGTGACCCAAATATATGAAACATCCAGCCCATCCCTCCCACATTCAGTCTACACACCAGTGGAAAAGGTCAAAAGAGCACACACACTCACTACAGAGCACAGGACACCCAATTACATATCAAGTACCCCACACCAAGCACTCCAACCAGTGGAGCAACCATTTATTTATTTTTATTCCATCATTTTTCCAGCAGTTTGCATAACCCTCCTCAGTTTTCATTGTCACAAGAAGTTTGTGAAGCTGGTTAGGGTAAGAATCAGAGACTGCCCAAATTCATCCAGTGAATTTCATAGCCCAAGTGCAGAGCACTGGACCATTCCAGTCCCAGTCCAGTACTCTTAACTGTTGAAATGCATAACTCAAGGAGCTTGATTAGCTTAACAAACACCATTTGCTTTTTGTAAAACTGCTTGCTTTGGAGAGGAAAAAGGGAAGGCAAAAGACTGTTGATAAGGTGAGACGAAGGGGCAGTGAGTGAGAGAAGACCCCCCACGCAAGGTCTGGCATGCAGTGATCACGCTCCCCCCGTGAGGGGATTGGACGTAGAGAAGCACCTGCAGGAGGCCAGGCATACAGTGGACGTGAAGGCCCCGCAAGGGGATTGGGTGAAGGGTCAGGCAGACCCTGAGAGGGGATCGGGTGACGGAACAATGGGGGCGAGATTCAGTTTCAAAAAAGGAAAAAAGTATAAGAAGAGTGAGTTGGAGGAATGTGTGTGTGTCGCTGCTTGCCTGCGTGTAGGGGGCGGACATCCAGGTTGCTTTGCTCAGATGAATAAAGAAAACTGAGCAAATCTCCGCCTGACTGAACCTCATTGACACTTGGTTTAGTGGGTCTGTAAGTTACCTGAATAGCAGGGACATCAACATAACAGTGTACAAGCATTGCAAGCCTGAAAAGATTACTGGTATTAACTCAAAATCAGTACAGATTTTAGGGGTGCAATCCTATACCCACTTACTTGGAAGTGGGTCCTATTGAGCTCAGCAGAGTATATTTCTGAGTAGATGTGTCCAAGATCAAATTCTAAAAATTGCTGCAGCATCAAATAACAGGAATGACAGCAAATGCCTCTGAAATAACATTTTTGGGGATGTGTGTATTTGAGGCAGCCTGGTGTCTGACCAATGCCCAACAAGAGTAACACCTAGATTGTAACATGAAACACTATTTTACTGAAGATTGTAATTGTAACCTCATTGGTATTTCTTTTTCTCCTGTTCCAGATAAGGTCAAGATCCTGTTCAAGATGCCTGATACAGCAAAGGCACCCATCCTGAGACTTTTGTATAGGCTGGAATAGAAATGCCTTAAATAAATAAAATAAAAAATATATGCCAACAAGGGAATTGAGACAGAATGAAATTAGTGATTAGCACAGAGAAATTCCTTGCAAAGGCAAGGATCTCTCCCTGTCAGGCAATAGAATTTGCTGCTGGGAATGTCTGGGACCACAGAAAGACCCCCAATGGAAGCAGAAGATTGAAGACCTCCCCTTCCCCTCAGTGGCCATAGGGTCTAGGTTACGCTATGCAAGCTTCATGGATTTGAGAAGCTACCGAAATAATCCCTCAAAGCACAAATCCTTCCACAAGTGTGTTCTTTTCTGTGTGTCAAACTTCTCTTCTCCTTCTCAAGCAGTTCCTCTGCCAGGAATGTTATATATGTAGCTGCTGTTGCTGTTCCACTTCTCCTGGGCTGTCTGTGATCCCCCTGCCCCTCCCACTTGCATTGCACAGGTGCCATTCATATGTAGGGGTGACAGATAAGGTGCTGTTGCAGGTGTCTGGTACTCCTTTGCCCCAAAACCAATAGACAACTGGACAAAAGGAGGGAGAACATCCAATCAGGTTTTACTCAGTTCACAACCAGAAGGAACTGATTAGGCCCCTCCATGAAGGGCATTCTCTTCCCCTTCCGGAGTTTGCGTAAGAAGACAAACAGTAGCTCTTGAACAAAACTGAGCATGTACGAGTATACAAGCTCAGTGTTCTCCCTAGCAGAAGCAGGAAGCGAAGAAGAACAGGCAGTGTGTTACTCTGTGCCTGCTGGCCACTTTAGGTTGCATTCAGCGCAGGGGAACAAGGTCTAGGATGTGAGCAGTCAAAAGCAGGTTAGGTAGAGAAGTTTAGGTGGGTCTCCACCCCCTTTTCCCTCTATCACAAGCCTCCCATGCTCCTATTGAACTCAGTGGGGTTTCTTAGTACAGTGATACCTTGGTCCACGAACGCCTTGGTTCACGAAATCGGGTCATGAAAATTTTGACTTGGGTTGCGAACTCCGCATTGGGTGGCGACCAAGATTGCAGCCATCTCCCTTGCACCCCGAGTGGGGAGACGGCCATGATCACAGTTGCATTCGTGCAGGGAGGACGTGCGTGATCACAGGCCACTCCTGCAGGAAAGACAGGTACAATCTCGGCCATCTACCCCCCCCCCCCCCCCACCCGCCCGGGCCGGGCCCCCTCCCCCCCCCCCCCCGAGTGCTGTGCTGCACCCGTCTCTCCTGCAGGAGCGTGCCCGTGATCATGCACATCTTCCCTGCACGAATGCTACTGCGATGGTGGCCATCTCTCCACTCAGGGGGGTGGGGAGATGGCCATGATCGTGCTGGTTGGGGCAGGGGGAGATAGCCACAGTCATGCTGGTTGTGGGGAGTGGGAGATGGCCGAGATTGCACCTGGCTTTCCTGCAGGAGTGCACCCATGCCAGGGTTTCTTTGAGAAGCACCACCCCAACATAACTGTAACGAACAGAGTGTTGAATCTGATGAACGATAACGTGGTCTCTCATTTCCGGAGGGTTATGCAGCACAGGAAAAAACAAGTGACATTAGAATGATTTTTCACTGAAATTGACCCTGCAGCTAAGAGACAAGGAAGAGAGGAAACCCCTGAAGGAGATCTCCCTGATATCCTTATGGAAGGGACTCTCCCTCCAAACAATAACCTCCCCCCCACCCAGGTTAGTGTTCTCTACTGTACTGTACTTCGTTACTTTGTTGTTACTTTGTTTCAATTTTTTGAGATTTAAAAAATATTTACAGAATGGATTAACCTTATTTACATTGAACCTTATTGGCAAATTTGACTTGGTTCACGATCAAAATCGGTTCGTGACCACATTCGTAGGGGTCAGAACAGATTAAGCTTATTTACATTGAAACTTATGGGGAAATTTGACTTGGGTCACAACCAATTCGGGTCACGACCAGAGTTGTGGAACGGATTAAGTTCGTGAGCCAAGGTATCACTGTGTATATGAATCTTGATGTGCTGTCTTCTTCCAAGTCTAAACATACCAGGGAGTGGCCAGCAAGCCTGCTGAGCAGGGCAACTAGCAGATCAAGCTCTAGGTAGGCAGCACTTCGGGGTCAAAGGCAGAGTAACTTCAAAATCATGACAGCAAAGCAGCTGACTTGGTGGCCTGACTCATTAACCAAAAAGATGAATGCAAAGGAGACTGAAAAAAATACAAAATGGAAAATAGGAAAACATAGTGAAGGGTGGATACTCCAGAGACACCCCTGACTACCAGTGTAAAATTGGGGTGGGGGTATAGTCAATTCCCAAGTTACAAACGTCCAAGTTAGGAACAACCCATGCTTTAAAATGAACTGCCACAAAGTCTATTAATTTTTTAAAAACTGCAGAAAATCACCATGGAGAGAGAAGAAGCAAAAGGGGATATAGGGAGGCCTCCAAAGCATGCCTTCCTGCCCTGTTCCTCAGGGCAG